CATTTCTCTGGACACAGGGATTGGTTTGTGAAGGATCATGTGACCCAGTTTAGACCAATGAAAAACAAGTGGCTCACACTTGTGATCCCAGCAGTTTGGGAGGCTGAGACAGAAGGATCACTCTAGACCAGGAGTTCTAAACCAGCCTGAGCAAAAGAATGAGAACTCCCCCCATCTCTACACAAAAAAATTTTAAAAATTAGCTGTGCTTGGTGGCACATGCCTGTAGTCACAGCTTCTCAGGAGGCTGAAGCAGGAGGATCGCTTGAGCCCAGGAGTCTGAGATTATAGTGATCTATGATCACACCGCTGCACTCCAGCCTAGACAAAAAAGCGAGACCCTGTCTCTTAAAAAAAAAACAAAGTGAACCTTCATAAGAATTTTTCCTCTCTTTTATTAAAGAGAAGAGCTGTTTTGGCACTATGAGGGAAGCCAGTCTGAAGATTAGACCAGTACACAGAGGGGAGATGACCCAGAAGCTACTGAATGAATCCAATCCTGAAGCATGTCCAACCACTAATCTTCCATTTAGAAGAGCTGAAAGAATTGCTATTAAATTGGAGCCAAGTTCTAACTTGCAACATGAAGCATCCTAACTGATAAAGGGATCCTTTCTTCAACTTTGTATCCGCCACATGGCAGGCATTCAATAAATGGTGGTTGGGTTGAATGAGCCCATGATTCTGGTACAGTCTTTTTCTAGCTCTCTGGATCTTCCTTGAAGAGCTTCTCCATTAGCTTAGCAATCTTCCCCACACAAGTTCCCTCAGCCCCTCTCCTCATTTGAGCTTGAGGCTTCTGGTAGGACTGAGTCATCATTTTCAAAAACCGACACAGAGCTTCCTGAAGTGATAGGAATGTTCGCGTCTATCCAGTCCATCTCTCTTGGAAATTTCTCAATGAACACTAGGAAATCTTAACTCACAGACTCTCCTCTCTCCAGACTTTGGGCTGCCACCTGTTTCTTTGCAATTGTAGTTACCATTTCAACATGCTTTCATGAAGTTTGAAGCGTATGACTTCGTGGCGCTAACTTTGGAATCACTCTAATCTAATCAATAAACTGTCTACAAATCACATTTTAGGGTGAGTTGTTAAGCATTCAATTACCAGATATTTGAGTTGCAAAGTCCCACACTATGAAATGGTATAATTTCTAAGAAGTTTTCTGTTACTTTTTTTCTTTACCTCTGGAGGTGGGTTATTAAGAGTTTAATTGTCAGTGAGTAATGCTTCTTTTTCTTTCTTTTTTCAGTTTTCAAGTAAACACTATATTGTTATTGACTGTAGTCCCATGATGTACAATAGATCTCTTGCACTTATTCCTACTGCTTAACTGAAATTCGTGTCCTTTGAACAACATCTTCCCAATCCCCTGTACCCCCAGCCTATGGTAACCACCATTTTCCTCTATGTTTCCATGAGTTTGACTTTTTTACACTCCATATATAAGTGAGATCATGCAATATTTATCTTTCTGTGCCTGAATTATTTTACTTAACATAATGTCCTCCAGGTTCATCCATTATGTTGCAAATGATGGAAGTGTCTTCTTTTTATTTTTTTGAGACAGAGTCTCGCTCTGTTGTCCAGGCTGGACATTATCCCCTCTCACAACATTTGAAGTGAGCTTTGGATTGAGCCCTCTTTGGGGCTGTGCAGATTTCACCGCCTGCTTCTTGCTTGTGCACATATGGGACCCCAATTGCTGCTTTAAGGCTTAAACACTTACAGACTTTTAAAAATGTTTAATGACGAGGCTTGTAATTTCTCTGGCAATATATTTCTCTCAAAAACTGAGAAGGCTTCAGTGAGTTCCATGGACCAGTCACTACTTCCAAATTTCTTTCCTGGGTATAACTCTTATTAAAGCTGCTTTATTTCTTTATTTTCTTGATCAACCAATGATCTCTCTCATTTTAATGGTGACTACCTTGAGTGCATTTGAAATAATAGGCTTGAATGCAAATCATCTTTGCCACAGCCTGGCTCTTAGTTTGGCTGAGAAGAGCCTTTGAAAAATGAGCCTTTGAAAAATGCTTTGAGCAACTACAGTTGATCTCTTCTTGTTTTGGGTGCAGAAGCAATTGACTTTTTAAACTCTGCAATGATCCACATTTCCATACTGTTTGCAATCTGACCAATTTGTGCAATGCACTCTTTCTTCTCATACCTTGCTAAAAAGCAGGAAGGAGCAGCTAGCATACACGAATGCTGTGGTTTTATGCAACTGCTTCCTCTAAAACTAAAGGCTTAGTGGGCAAGTGGCCTGCCCTTCAAATTATTGCAGATGACTCTCTTGCCAAATGTTGTTTGCCTAGGCGTGAAAAGGACACTGGCTTTCCAGTCCACAATGCCAATTTTCTTATCTCCCAATGCTGAGACAATGCCACATATTTTAGGTTTTTGTAACAGCAATACTTTTGGTACCTATTTCTATCATATATTGCCCTTAGTCTAGGTTGCCCTAACTAAGAGACCTGTCCCATACCTCAAAGAAGACAAAAGTTTAGTTCTTTCTCATCTAACAGGTTCAGGTCCAACATTCCAGGCAGGGGGTAGCTCTGTTCCATCTAATCATTCAGGGATCTAAGTTTCTTCCATTGTGTTGCTCCTCCGTTCCTAGGCCTCGATGTTGTCTGTAGGGTCAAGGTCGAGTCATCGCCCTGTCTCAGTCCCAGTGTCTGGGAAAAGAGAAAAGATTGGGGAGGAGACACATATTTGTTATAAGTGGAAGTCTGCAAGTGGCACAAGGCACTTGTGCTCACATTCCTTTGCAGAAAACTTCGACACTTAACCATATCTACCTGCAAAGAAGGCTGGGAGATGTGACTAGAATAAAGGGAAGAACAGATTTTGGTGAGCAATGAAAGCTATATTACCCAAAAATGTTCAATATCAAGCCATCAGGTTACTTTGCAGCTTTGAGAATAGAATGAGACTCAGAATCTTGACCATAAAGTCAGACCTACAGAGAAGATCAGACATAAAATAGAAAGCCCTCTTATCGTGTATATTGTTAATATCTGTAAAAAAGCCAAGCAATTTTTATATCGGTGCTTTTAAATGATTAAAGCAATATTTTTGTTTTAAAATTTTCAGTCCTGGCTATGTATGCGTTTTTATCAATTGATTTAATGTGAAGAGGGGGATTTGGGGCTTAATTTCTTTTTTTCCCCCCCAGCTTTATTTATTTATTTTTTTTGAGACAGAGTCTCACTTTGTTGCCCAGGCTAGAGTGAGTGCCGTAGCATCAGCCTAGCTCATAGCAACCTCAATCTCCTGGGCTCAAGCAATCCTATTGCCTCAGCCTCCCGAGTAGCTGGGACTACAGGCATGTGCCACCATGCCCAGCTAATTTTTTGTATATATATATTTTTAGTTGGTCAATTCATTTCTTTCTATTTTTAGTAGAGATGGGTTCTTGCTCAGGCTGGTTTCGAACTCCTGACCTCTAGCAATCCGCCTGCCTCAGCCTCCCAGAGTGCTAGGATTACAGGCATGAGCCACCGCGCCTGGCTCCTCCAGCTTTATTAAGGTAGAATTGACAAACAGGTATTATATATATATTCGAGGTGAGGCTGGGTGTAGTGGCTCGTGCCTGGAATCCTGGCACTCTGGGAGGCTGAGCTGGGAGGATAGCTTGAGCTCAGGAGTTCAAGACCAGCCTGAGCAAGAGCAAGACCCCATCTCTAATAAAAATAGAAAATTAACCAGGCATGGTGGCGCACCTGTAGTCCCAGCTACTCCGGAAGCTGAGGCAGGAGGATCGCTTGAGCCCAGGAATTTTAGGTTACAGTGAGCTAAGGTGATGCCACTGTGACAGAGTGAGACTCTGTCTCAAAACAACAACAACAAAAACACCCTTATGGTATATATTCACCATGTATAACGTGATGTTTTAACATACGTATACATTGTGAAACAACTGGCACACCTAGGCTAAAAACATATCCATCACTCACTTAGTTACCTTTGTGTGTGTGTGTGTGTGTGTGTGTGTGTGCGCGCGCGCGCGTGCGCACACGCGGCGAAAATACTTAAGATCTACTCTCTTAACAAATTTCAAGTATACAATACATCATTATTAACTATAGTCACCTTGCTGTACATTAGGTCTCCAGAACTTCTTCGTCTTGCAACTACAAGTTAGTATCGTTTGACCAACATTTCTCCATTTCCCCTGTGCCCCAACCCCTGGAACCACCCTTGCATTCTCTGTTTCTATGAATTCAACTTTTTTTAGAGCCCACACATAAATGAGATCATGCAGTATTTGTCTTCCCGTGTCTGGCTTGTTTCAGGTAACATAATGTCCTCCAGGTTCATCTGTGTTGTTGCAAAGGTAGGATTTCCTTCTTTTTAAAGCCTGAATAGGCCAGGCATGGTGGCTCATGCCTGTAATGCTAGCACTCTGGGAGGCCGAGATGGGAGGATTGCTCAAGGTCGGGAGTTCAAAACCAGCCTGAGCAAGAGTGAGAAACCCGTCTTTACTATAAATAGAAACAAATTAATTGGCCAACTAAAATATATATAGAAAAAATTAGCCGGGCATGGTGGCGCATGCCTGTAGTCCCAGCTACTGGGGAGGCTGAGACAGAAGGATTGCTTGACCCCAGGAGTTTGAGGTTGCTGTGAGCTAGGCTGACGCCACAGCACTCTAGCTCGGGCAACAGAGTGAAACTCTGTCTCAAATAAATAAATAAATAAATAAAGCCTGAATAATATTCCATCAATTCCACAACATCTTGCTCAAACAGTGGGGAACTGAGATCTCAAACAATTTCTAGCAAGCCAGACATGAGAAAAGGAAATTAATTGTGCAGGGCCCATTATTTCTAATTTAAGATATGAAAAAATTTCATGGCTATGCTCTTAAATTAAAAAAATAAATAAATAAAAGAAGAAAATCCTAGCACAGCGCCTGGCCTAAAGTAGGCAGTAAAATGTCAGTTCTCCTGCCTGCGAATTCCCTGTCAGCATGTTTATTCCTCTCCAGGGGCTGTCCTGGCGCCCCTAAAGGAAGGCGATGTGTTCTGGGATGGCAGAGGCAGCTGCTGCTGCCCGGAGAGCCCAGAGCAAAGCAAGGCAGCAGCAGAAAGCGGCATCCAGTGTTGCCTGGCAACATGCTGGGTGCCACCACTGGGGCACGGCGCCCTGAATGAGCACCATGAGGTGGTGACAACCTTTATAACCCTCGCAGAGCCTTCTTCCTGCCCACGAAGACCTCTTCTAGCTGGCTCTCTTCCTCTCACCCCTCTCTCCTCCACAGCCTCGGCATACAGCCCTATAGCCAGCATCTCTGCCTGGAAGTGGGAAGGAGGCACAGCCTGTAAGAGATACAACAGTGGGGGCGGGGTGGACAAAGGCGGGGCATGTATGGCCACCCCCCCACCCCCCACCCCCGCCCCAGGGAGCTCGCTGCCCATTGCATGTGTGCACCAGCTGCCTGCCTGCTGGGGACCAGGGTGATCTCCCAGCAGCCACTTCAGTTCTTGTTTGTTCTGTTCAGGCAAATCGGACAGCGCAGTATGGATTTTCCTAAGTTCAAATCAGGAAATCAAATAGATGTCTCTGTTTCTGGATGTTTGAGTAAATTCCTGTCTGGGTTGCCTAAGCCAAAGGTCGCTCCTGCTGAATCTTAAGCCTCCTGTTGAACTGCGTCCACTGTCAAAGGGTGGCCAGCCACAGGGAGAGGAAGAAGGGCTCAGGACGGGAGAGAAATTGCTGTCTGGGAAATTCTCTGACAAAGAATTATAGGGTTATTATTTTGAGCTTGGTAAAACAAAAACAAACACAAAACACACAGGCCACACACACACAAACCCACGAATTGACGCCAGTTGTATGTAAAGCCTTGTGCTGACTCTCAGAAGGAGAGTGGAGGGAGGCCTTTCTTGTGCACAAGGGAAAAACAGGCAAGAAAATATCACCCTTAAAAGAAACATTAATGAAGGAAAACATAGTGTATTTAGTGTGTCAACGTGAAGGGACAGTGAATGAAATGAATCAGGGAAATACATGAGTTTGTTTAATCATGAATGTATTCATTCATTCACTCCACTGACATTTGTTAAGTACCAACTATGTGCCACCCACTGCAATAGGGACTAGAGACACAAAACCAACAGGGCATGGACCTTGCCCCAGGGGGCGCTCAGCTGGAAGAGGGACACAGGCAGCTAAACAAGTAGGCGCAGCGATGTGTCATCAGGGCTATCAGGGACACAGGTACAAGGTTCACGGTGGTGCCAACCAGGTGGGCAGTCTCAGGCAGAGGCCAGGGGGAGGCTTGTGACAAGTGGTGGCCAGAGTGACAGTCTCGACCAGCAGGTGTGTGGAGAGCAGGACCAAGGTCCGAGGGGGCAGGACCCAGGTGAGGGTGGGAGGCGGTGCCGGGACATCTGCCAAAGCCTTAGGAAGCCAAGCCCCACAGGAACTGCTCCTATGGCATGCCATTAAAACCTGGAAAACAACGACGTTCTAGGAAAGGTGCCCGCCGCTCTACGGAGAATATGACAATGGAGGTGTGAACCCCGGAACTCCATGGCCTAGTCTGGCTGCTGCTGGTCAGCCCCTGCCCTTATCAAGCAGCTGGCTAGCAGGCTGGGGACACCTACTCGGCACAGGGACCACCTCGAGGAGGCAAAGAGCTGTCCCACCAGAATTCCTCTTTACAAATGTTACCCTAAAACTGCCCCTCTGGAGACAGAAGGGAGCCAGGAGGTCCTCGCAGATGGACTGTGCAGGTAGACAACTGTGAGTTGGAAGACTGGCTCCTTATTTAACAGATGGACAAAACGCTGTTATTAGTAAGAACTATTGGCTCTTATGGGTTGCAAGCCGTAGACACCGGCATAAGCAAAAAGGGTCCCTTTGCTGTAAAGATACAGGGCTGTCTCTTTACTGGTGGGCAGGAAGGTCTCAAAGCAATGGGAATGACCAGAGACAGGAAAGTGGGTGCAGACGTCAACCATAGTTCCTTCTTCCTACCTCTGGACCCTCGTCCCCGGAGAGAACAGTCATTGCTTCACCCGGTTATTGAACTGATTTGACGAGTTGATATATGCAAAGCAACTGCTATTTGAACAGGCCCTTGGTAAATGGAGGTGATTTTTAAATTAGCTAATAAAGATGTACTGTGATCTGTTTTTAAGAGCCTGGCACATGTCTTCTTTCCTCCGCCAGAGCTGTTCACGTCATGGGGGCATGTGCAGTAAGGCTTCTCTTCTCTGCAGCCATCTCTTGGTTACAACTTAAAACTTCCACCTCCTATGTCCCCTCCAGCTTTCTTTGCTATTACAAATCAATCCTTTTACTCTTTGGGCCACCCCCAAAGGTACTCGTCTATAGGACTACATTTAGGAATGACAAGTTTATATGGTGATGGTGTGACTTTCCTCTCAAACCGTGGCACTGTGGGCTGAGCCCTCTATGAACACCCAGGACATTGCTCTGCGTCTAGTGTTTACCTGATACTATTGGTTGATTCATCATGTTTTCACGGGAAGGGCAATATCCATTTAGAGATTCATAAAAGGAATCTTAAGAACTCATTTATTTCAGGTCACTGCCTTTAGCCAGGATAAGATATTCAGCTTCCTAAATGAATGACCAGGTGTTTTATTTCTACTCCCACATAAGCATGCGGTGACACAACCTGGGACTTGGAAGGAATTTGGTAGGTCCTCTAGGCCAGGTACCTCCCCAGCGTGAGATTCTATGCTCCGAGACCCCTGAGATGCGGGCATCTGGTTTCCAATTGAACAGGGAGCTTGTAGTCTTCCTGGGAAGTTCACTGTAGCTTTGTTCTTTTATGATTTAGAGAGTCCTTCTTTGCATGAAAATCTGAAACCTGCCTCTGCAGTCACTGTCATTCAATGTCCCTAATGCTATAAGACCAGAACTAACGAATGCCTCTTCCCCTTGGCATCCCTTCCCCCGTACGCAGTAAGGGCCACGTTCATTATGTCACGTCCCCTCTGTCTCCTTCTCCTTCTCCCAAGTGTCCTTACATTCTTTTCCACAAGACACAGTTTGTCTGATGTGTCATGTTTTGCTTTGCAAATCTCAGAGCTTGGGCTCCAGCACTGTCTGCCTGGAGAGAGGGTGGGAGTCGGGCTTCTCTTTGTTCTCGATCTAGCTGCCGTGGCCTTAGTAATAGTAATGCTTTCTAAATTTCAGCTCGGTTTTTTTTTTTCCTTTATTTTTGGTAGAACTATCACAATTTTGGCTCATATTAAGTTTTGAAATCTTCAGGCATTTTTTCAAAATGTGGAAATGACTTTTTCTTATTATAAATGTAATACACATTCACTATGGAAAATTCAGGGGGAGGAGAAAGAAAAACATGCAAGAACAAAGAAGAGAATAACAACCATATTGTAACCTGATCTCGTCAAGATATCTATTGTTAACATTTTGGTATGTATTCTTCCAGACGTTGTTACCGAAAGCTCGGCGAGGCCAAATCAGAAGAACGAGGACAAGTAGTTGAAAAGAAGGAAAGAGATTATTTATTATTTTGCCAGTGAAGGAGGAAAAATGGTAGACCTTGTTGTCTCAAAATCCAAATTTCTTGAACAAAGGCAGAAATACACAGCTTTTAAAGGGAGGGCCGGTCAGCTCTAGGGTATTGTGGTTAATTATCATCCCATCAGGGCCAAAGACAAAGCCATGAACTCTGCCTGGGGTGCTGGCCCCACCTGGGAGTTCTCTTTTAACAAAAGATTTAACCTATTTCAGAGATGCAGGCCAGGCTGCAGGTCCCAAAAAGGGTGGGGGAAGTTTTAAAGAGAAAGAAAATCTTACAATCCCCCCAGGCCCTTCGCTCTGTTACCATCTTTTCTATGCATACATACAATTTCTCTCTTATAAAGTGGGATTAAACATCTGTGGCAGGCAGGTGTGGTGGCTCACCCCTGTAATCCTAGCACTCTGGGAGGCTGAGGCGGGCAGGTCGCTAGAAGTCAGGAGTTCGAAGCCAGCCTGAGCGGGACCCTGTCTCTACCAAAAATAGAAAGAAATTAATTGACCAACTAAAAATATATATACAAAAAAATCAGCCGGACATGGTGGCGCACGCCTGTAGTCTCAGCTACTCGGGAGGCTGAGGCAGGAGGATCACTTGAGCCCAGGAGTTTGAGGTTGCTGTGAGCTAGGCTGACGCCATGGCACTCACTCTAGCCCGGGCAACAAAGTGAGACCCTGTCTCAAAAAAAAAATCTGTGGCAGATTAATGATGATACTAAGATACTAATTCTTTGTCACTCGTCTCATGGAAAGGTGGGGTCTGTCACCACTCCCCGTGTAACTGGCCTGGGCCTGAGACTCGTTTGAGCCGACAGAACGTAGTAGAAGTAACATTGGATCGCTTCCAAGGCTGGGTCTTGGGAGATCTCAGCTTCTGCCTTCATCACCTGGAAGACTCTCCCTGGAACCCAACCACCAGGGAGGAAGCCTTGCCGGCCACAGGTCGAGCCCACGCGGAGGCACTGAAGCGTGTAACTGAGAACAAACCAAATATTAACCAGGCGAGTCAGGTCGTTTTGGACCTTGCGGCTGTCCCAGACCCCTAGTCAGTACCAAGTGATGCAGAACAACACAGAATCGTGAGAAGTAATAAATTGTCATTTTAAGCCACTAAATTTGGGGGCGGTTAGTTATAATAGCAATCGAAACAACTACACATAGTGACAGCAAATGTGTATATGGTGTTACTATGTGCTACATGGTTACAAATTTTTTATATGTAGTAGCTCACAGAACCCTTACAATAACCCTAGGAGGTAAGTACTATAATTATATATTTTTATCCCCATTTTGCAGATGAGGAAACTGAGGAGCAGTGGAGTAAGTAACTTGCCCAGGGTTATGCAGTGAGTAAGTGATGGGGTGGGGATTTGAACCTGTGCAGTCTGTTAGGATCTGGAGTCTGTGCTCTAAACCTCCATACCCCACTGCCTCTCTGCTCCTTTCTCTCATTTAAGATATCATGAGCAACTTTCAATGTCAATAGATACCAATCTATAAGGTCGTAACCATTTAGCATAAGAGCAGCAAGGACCCAAGCCCACCACTCTCATTGTACAAATGAGAAAACTAAGGACCAGTGAGGTCAAGAAACTTCCCAAAGGTCCAAATTACACAGCAGTAATTGCCAGAACAGGGAGACACCTTTAACGAGGAAAGAATACACAAATGGTACATTTTAGGAAGGGCCCTGCCTGTAGGAAGTGCTAATTTCTGGATGCTACCTAAGAATATTACTTGGATCTATTACTTACAAAAGTAGCCCTATTCTTTCTGGTCACACCTGTTTTACCTGCTATTCCTCTATAGTAGGTCAAAACCAAGCTCTAGACACCCTCTTTGATTAAATTAGGGGCAAAAGAATCCAGGTTTTAGTTCACCTAATTCTACTACTTACAAGTCACCTGACCTCAAGAATGCCATTTAACTGCTATATCCTT